CACACCAGCGACAACGGGAGCGGAATACCAAACGCCCAGTTGGCGGGAAAACGAACCTAGGTCTGCGCGGAAGTCCCACGAGACTATGCAGTCCGTCGGCCTAGGCAAAGCGATCAACAACAATTGGGGAGAAGGCGGCGTAGTCGTGAGAGAAGCCGAGCATCCGCGCTGGATCGAACCCGTGAGGGCCCGGCCTATTCACTCGAACTATTGACAAAAAACCGGCCTCGAACTATTGACAAAAAAAAAAACAGCGAAGCGAGAAATATACGGCGAACTGTCCACCTGACCCACATCCTACCACCATTGCATGTCGGCGCGGCCCGTACCCCGCGTCTGACCGCGACGGCGGCCAGGCGAGGGCCCAGACAAGCCGATGCGCCTCTGCATGGCCTCCTCCACCGGCAAACTCCGGACGCCTACGGGGCATGTCAACGAACTGGCCGCTGCGCCCAAACATGCGTACCGGACTCCGGACACAGCCCGCCCAGCGCCGGGCCGAGTGTCCTCTCGCCGCCCGAACCAACCTCATCCAGCCTCGCTCCCTCACTAAACCATCGCGATGCAAGCCGTCATCTGTATTTACACACAAAAACAACGAGGCAAAAATCACTCACACACTGCGACACACCAGTCCATCGCTCAGGCGGGCTCAGCGTCGAGCCGCGTGGCACGTAACACACTCACACACCCGAGCCCCTCCCCCTTTCCCCGGCTCCGCGGGAGGGATCCGGTAGCCGCGGCTTACGCCGCCCGGTGGCGGGCGGGGTGAAAGGGCACGCTCGGAGCGCCAGCCGTCCATGGCCCGGTGAGATGGGAGGGGGGGGGGGGGGGGTCAACAGCCTGGGCACTCACATCGTGTGCGCTGTTGTCGGTGACCGTCGTACGCCGCGTCGAATGTCACAGCCGGGTGCTGTGAGCTGGGCCTCGGAGGGTCGACCTCAAGATGCCGCGGTAGGCGTTGGGCGCACTCACTGGCACTGTCCTTTCCTGAGTCCTCTGTCTCCCATTCTGTCTGTCCTCTCCCCACTGTTGTCCCCTGGAGACTCCCCCATGATGTTTTTTTCCGATTTTCCGATTTCCGGCACCTCTCAACCCTGTCGGCCCGTCTTCGTCTTCCCCGTGATCCAGTGGGTTCGCCGCCTCGCCCCCTCCGTCCAATGCATCGCCGGGCACTTACGTGATCTAAACTTGGGCGTGGCGCCGACGAACATCATGGACATGGAGAAGACGGGGAAGAGCAGCCACATGACGGACATGTACCCGATGAGCAGCGTTTGCCAGCGGCCGGTGCCGCAGCACCGCTCCAGCACGTCCTCGAAGAGCACCTCCGCATTCTGCTCGGACTTCTCCTCGGCCTTGCCGCTCTCTGCCGCCTCCGCCATCGCGACAGCTTACTTGGTCACGAGCACTTCCAGCGGTGTCCGCGTGCGTCGGGCTCAGCGACGCGTCACGCTCCTCTCAGCGCACTCCGTGACCCTGGCCCACGCACACGGCTCGCGGGGGCTCCGTTCAATGCGTCGCCGGGCCGGCATGCGCCGCTCCCAGAGTCCGGCCTTCTACGTGCCCCTAGGCCAGATCTCGGGCGTGGCGTCGCTGGCGACGACGCAAGGCCCGCCCGCTCTCGCCTCGGGCGGGCCCTACGCGTCCCACTCTGGCCCAGTTCCCACGTGGCGCGGCTCTCCCGACGGCATCCGGGGGCGACGGTGGCGCCGGCGCTGCGGGGGTTGCTGGGGCGAAATAGCAAAGGGTCTCACATGTCATTTGAGCGTTCCTCTGCGCATGTTGTTTCGCTGATCGCCCGCTCTCGCCTCCATTTCTCTTGGCGCGATGGACGATTTTGGCAGGTGGGGCCACCGTCATGGCTGTTCTGGGAGAAGCATCCGGCGTTGTTTTGACGACGTGAGCTGATCGGCCGGATCGTTGAGGGAGGTATGGACCCCATGCCCCTTTTAGAGCTCAAAGTCATCCACAGAGCACAAGGTCACCCAGACAGGAAAATAAATGAGTATTCTTAAAAAAGTCGGCGACCAAACCTTAACGTACAGGACTCATAATGGTCGATTATGCAAACGTGGTGTGTGCTTTGATGCGTGATGTGTGCTAGTTTAAGTTCGTTTACACACGTAAGTGATGTCTGACGCGTGATGCGCCATGCCTGTTTAATTGAAATCGCTTGCGTGCATGATTGTTGCGCGATGTGTGATGCCTGCTTTTTTCAACTCGCTTGCATGTTTTGAATGAAGCGTGATGCGCGATGTGCGTTTGCTTGAATTCGTTTGCATGTACGCGTATTTTCGTGTATTCTAATTATTAGTAAGACATGCACTGTATCGTGATAGTTGCTGGCCTTGCCCATTGTGCAATCCCCGTAATGTTGGTGTCCTATAAAAACCGTGGCTCGCAAAAAAAACAACTGAAAATTGAGAAGGATCATTGGCAGGGAGTTTTGAATTCACTTCTGCTCTTGTTTCGATAAAAGCATGATGCAGATATATCAACACATCTGCATCTTCATTCTCTCGGTTTTTCTCGGAGGAATGAGGCTATTACTATGTGAATAATGTTACTCGCAAATGCAATTAACCTCTTACACTAACGTCTTTCTATGATAAGGGCAACACGTGTCGTATTTTTTTTCTTTCACTGCGATGTTAGCTGTCGCCGGCGAAATGCGAGAACCAGTCACCGAAGGAATAGACTCCGGTTAATAGACTATGGAAGCGTGATTCTCCGTCAAGTTTTAGTTTGCCCCGGATACGCAATGAGTTTTCACACCTACCGGTCGTTACCGTCCCGCTGATGCGCGCAACGTTTCCTCTAAGAGGTGTGTTTGTACCCGCACAGCTCATATAGCCATCGAAAACACGGATGAGAAAAAATTCAATGCATTAACATAGTTACAAGCCTCAAAAGCTCTTTTCTATTGCTGCCAATATTAATAACTCAGTCCAAGTACCTGCACAAATGAATTTTTGAAAAATCGAAAAGACTAGACCCACTCCTTTTAAATGACCATTGGACACCGCATGCCTAACTGGAGCTGGATAGCCCGTAGAGTGACGGTCATAACGCGGTTCAGCTGAAAAGATACGTATGATAAAATTTAAAGATTGCGACTATGTGCTCTCGATAGCAGCGTTGTAGGGCTCAACACGTTCGTCAGATTTTCTTTTCAATTTTATTCGGTCGACTCTCCGGCAGCATATTACGCAAAGCTTGTTGAGCGACCATGGCGGTGATTGGTAAAGGTGCGGCATTCAAGTGGACACACTTCTCCGATTCTGGCCTCCATTTTATTCAGTCGATCATTGGATAGCGTTTCACCCAATGCTGTTGGAGTTCTGCAGCGTCGACTCACAAGCACGGCGGCCAGTTTTAAATGCTTGTAGTTTGCACAGCGGGTGTGACCATGGGTGCATATACGATATCATTGTTAGAGCACCACCGGCCGGAAATGTAAATCGCTTATTGACTAATGTGACATCTTGTCAACTACACCCTTGACCGTATATCGGCAACCCTGCCGGCCTGTTTTTAGCGAGATGGCCAGAATACGGCACCCAGGGAGAGAGTGCTCAATAATACGTGCGAAGATTGCAATTGTACGCATTCAAAAGCATTTGCATATTGCTTGCAGTTGCCGGTACAACGCACATCTGACCCACGGTGCCCGCCCGTCCTGCCAGGGTGAGAGGCAGGCGATGTCATATTGCCTCAGCAGCTGAGTGCGTCGTGGAGCCCCAATGATGATGATGATGGTACACGCATCGGATTTTAGTTTCCATCGTATTCGTTCGACCCTCGGTAGCGTCTCATTCATTGCTGGCGGTCGTCAGCACAGGCGATCTAAACCTTTCTTAAACGCCGCCTGATAGTTCGCGTGTGGAAAACAGTGAAATAGGGCTAGGGGTGCCTTATCTGTGCTGGTAATCTTTCTATTTTTTGTTGATAATGATGGCAAATGCTCCTGAGTTTTGTGCAAATGGGAATGCTTTAAACACGCGGATGTACACGGGCAGGGTAAACTGCGACGCGCGCAAAACTGCTGTCTGCATATCTCGAAGAACGATATGTAAAGAGATCCAGTGAAAGACAGCGTATTGGATAGTGAAACTGCAAGATTGGGAGCTTTTTGATCCACCGAAATACAACCGTCAATTCAAAGCTCGGAACACAACTTGCGTAGTAATCTAACTAATCCGTCTAAGTAATCCGTAGTAAGTAATCTGTCTGGTAATCTAACTCTTTTGTGGTAAATCTTGTCAAATAATTATAATTGTGCATGCCCAATTTGTACAAAGATGCGCTTAAAAGGCATATATATTTCAAATCAACGTTTTCCTTTAAGATTCACTGAGTGCCGTATGGTGTCATATTTAATCGCATTGCCCCTGGTGCATTGGTCGTGAAAGTAGGGAAAGGAGGAGGGGGGGGGGGGGGGGGGGGGGGAGAGGGCGGGGATGCAGTTTTTTCCAGCGGTGACTTGCAGACGGCTCTATGTCCAGTGCATGCCGGGATAACGTCTGCAATAGTGGAACAATTCTTGTCGTTTCGTGGATAAAGAACAGCTCATGTAACCTAAAACGTCTACTACTTGAAAACATGAAAACACATGACACTTGAGCGTGCTGCATGACCGCTAAAATATGTAAGTCGCACCCCGTCTGCAGTTTCACCGATAACATGTCCCGTTCCGCAATCGCATCAATCTTGTATGAATTGGTAGCACTTGGTCTGAGCTTCCGTGAACATGGTCTTTCTCAGACTGCTGATGCAACAGATCGCTTGAGCACACGGAGACATCAGGATTGCACCAGTTCGGGGAGCGGCAGGCTATCGTCTTGCGATCAGACGTTATCGGCGAGCCATGATGGGACCCTGCAACGTCGCCGCGATTAGCTATCACGCCGGATTGCCCTGCAATCCTGTTCAGACGCCGCCCTGCGGTGCTATAAAGCCGGCGGGCAGGGCGTGGTCGCCATCCAGTGGCACTCCTGCCACAGCTTCGCATCATGGCGTGGCTCCAGCTCCTGCTTACGCTCTGCCTGGCCGCCGGTAAGCGCTGGTGGTCTGAGTTCCCACTTTGCAGCGACGGAAGAGGTCGTTAGCGGGTGCGTGTGGGCTCCTCTGGCAGTAACTGCGGTAGTGTATCACGAGCCCTCAGGTGCGGTGCCGTCGCCTACCGCGCACACATGTTATTGTTTGGTGCGCGGTAGCTCCCATGTGTGAAGACGTAGCTTAACTCAGCTATTGAGTGACTGTGGACAGGGATGTATTTAGGGCAGAGGGGCACCGGAAGGCCCCCTCACGCTAGCGCTCATGGCATTTATGCATGCGTTGCATGTGGATAAGGACGAAGACATGGACAAAAGTGGATTAGATACATTGCGTTGTTGTGCGCGATGCAAAAAACCAAGGGTGACTATGTCGCACCCAAATGGACCTTTCAGTCAAAAGTTTTTAGATGTGCCCCCCCCCCCCCCCATATTGCAAAATGCTGCATACGCTCTGACTACGGACGAAGGAATATCAAACGTAAGCGAATATATACCAAAGCCTTCATCTCTACTGTACATCGCTGGTACCTTAACAGCCTTGTGTTATGACACTCACAGTTGCATGGGTCAATTATGAAAGATACCTTCCGAAGTGCCTACTAGTTTGTATCATTGTTCTGCACTTAATGATAGCTCACTTTGGCTATGAATAACTCTCACAGTGGATGGCTACCGTTTTCGAGCCTTGTCAAGGTACCAACTTGTTGATCAAGTTAAAATGCTATGTTATATGCAAGAAAAGGCATAATTTGGACGATAGGATGTAAGATCTACCCTTTTCACGCCAACATTGTTCCACAGGTACCTATTTTGGTACCCAATCTAAGTTGCACAAAAGGTATAATAAACAGAGGTGGAAACTATCACTTCTCGTCAGTTCTTTCAAACGAGCTGGCAAATTGTGTTGCGGAAGTGCTTTTGTTTCGTCATTGCCTACCTTCCCGTTTTTTTCCCGTTTGCGGTTTTTGTGACTTGATTCCATGAGACCAAACTTGGAAACGTAAAATGAAGACTAGGTGAGGATGAAGCAAAAACGTTGCACGAGTAAAATTTGCGGGCTATTTTTATGAACCTCACGACATTCCAGGGCCTTCGCTCCCGCTTATCCCACATTTCGTGCATTTCAGGTTTGATTCCAGCTTAGGTCCCGGTGTGATGGTGCTGACTGTGAAAAGTGAACAGTGAAAATGGAAGGGCTCCATTGGCTTCCCTTCACCAAAGTTTTCGGTTTTCCTAGGCTGCATTGAGCGTGCACCATGTCCTCCCTGCCAAGTACATGGCTGTTGCCACAGGATGCACAAGTGCTTCATTTCACTTCATGCAGCAAAATCTCCTTCAACACCCACTTTAAACGCTCTCACCATAATGCCCTTATCGAAACATGGCCGCTCCCACTCAGGGAGCCGAAATCCCGGCCGGGCTGCCGGGCCCTCGTGTGCCTCTCCCACCCCGCTGGTATGTCTTGTACTACGCTGACAGAATGTCCTGCACTTCGTCTGATGGCGCATGTCTAACACCCCGACATTGCGATGCGGATGCCTCACACCCCGATAGGCGGAGATATCTAGAACACCGTTCGGTGTAAGCATCTGAAGCCAGAGGATCCGAGTACGGCCAACCGGGCTATGCTCACTTAAAGGGGACATATGCTCTACATATGTGTAAGGTTTTGAACTAAACAGCCATATTGAAGACCTTTCGATGCAGCTCACGGCTACGCCCTTTTAAAGTTTAAGCCCTTCGGTTCCTGAGCTTCAAGGCGGCAAAGATGCGTGAGAGTAATTGTGGTAGAGTATTTTAAGGTCACCTTGGAATGCATGACGTCATGAATAACGTCATTTGCATGCGGTCACTCCACTGTCCATGCGCCGATTAGGGCCAATAAAATCGAGTTAAGAATAAATTATTGAGCTGCTCATAAATGTTGTTCGCGAGCATAATTTCCAGATATAACGGCGGTCTATTGAATCTCAAGCAATGTTGTGCAAAGTACGTTGACGTAATCAAACAATGGCACATTGAGCAGCAAATTTACTAAGTGGAGAAATTCTGTTGTCTAGTGCAGTCTTTTACATTTAAAAGTGTGCCAACCAGCTGAACCAACTAGTGACTTTTTCGTCATATTTGATGCTTGATTCAGTATCTTCAAATGTGGAACATTCTGTTTAAAGGGGCCAGAGTTGGGCAAAAATGACAAAGTTCTGTACTTTGAAGACAATCCGAGCAACATTGACGCTGGGAATGTCGTATTTGAAAGCTCCTTGTGCAAAGTGAAACATTTTGTGAAAACCAAGACACCTTGAAATCTGCGTCCCCCCTCCTCTAAGGTCGTGTTCTAGTCCCACTCTATCTGAAAATCCGCCTAGCGAGGATGTCTAGCGCCACGCCCAGTCAACCTGTCTAACACCCCGCCCAGTGACTGTCTAGCACCCCGTCCGGCGAGGCTGTGTGGCCGCCGGCACCGGCCGCCGCCCACCCGTCCCGGTATCTCGCTCGGACGGCGCCGGGCGCCCGCGTATCCGGGGTGCGGGGGAGGAGGTCAGAGCGGAGGCACTCCGTCTCTCGAGTGTTTGCCTCCGGGGCACAGAGCGTCGCAGCGCTATCGCTGCCTGACGGCTCGGATTAGCGCCCGTCGGGTGTGGTGGGGGAGGGGGAGGGGTACGCCGCCGTCGACTTACCTTGCAGGCTTCTTCTGAGGCCTCTGGCAATTCATGGCTCATTTCCGTCATTTACAATTGTTTAACAATCAACGCAAGCGGTTGCTATGGCCATGGGCGTCGCCTCACTTCGTTCAAAGTCATGGTTAGGAAATGCCGTTTGTGGTGGGAGTCGAACTCAGGTACCTCATCTAAACACAATCATCACACCTTCACTTCCCAGACCCTCACCAATGCAGAATGCAGTGACCTGGATATTCAGACTAGCACACCATGCACTCTGTGCACGAGGATTTGCAATGGAGGGGTCATGAAGTGGGACGGAGTGATGTGGAGTGGCCGGTTCTTCACGAAGATCCGCAGTTTTATCCCGGGTCGGCGGCGTATCGTGGCGCTCGCTTCACGGATCGGCGGCCTTCAACACCAAAGCAGCGCGTCTCTGAGCGGCCTCTGACCTGTTGTGCTGTCGACAGGCCTACAGGCGGCCCCCGAGCGACCGGAGGGTGGCTTCTCATGCCCCCGCCCCCAGGGCCTCTTCGCGCACCCCTACGACTGTCACAAGTTCCTGCACTGCGACCATGACCATCCGTATGTCAAGGACTGCCCGGCCGACCTGCACTTCAACCCCAAGATCATGGTGCGTGTAGCTCCGTATAGCGTATAGCCGTCTCCAAGCAGGAGTAGGACGTCTCGAAAAGTCGGCAAAACGTCACAAATATTTGTAAAGTCAACCCGTTCCACGCATGACTAGTGGCACCATAAGTTGAAAATCAAACGGTTGTAAAGGGCGGTGGACCATGCTCCATCAAATTTGGTGATTATTTGTTTCCACGTCTGTTCGTCCGCTTTGCATACATCACACCTGGTTGTCGGTCCAAGCCTGTTGGGGTCCCACCACTGATGCTCTACAGACTTGTTGCTTGTCATCTTGTGGTGTGGGCTTTTTGACAAGACAAAGAACGTTCCATGAGCGAGGGTATCACAGACTACAATAATATGTCAGCGGTTCAAATCATAGTTCCCATATAACATTATATATATATATATATATATATATATATATATATATATATATATATATATATATATATATATATATATATATATATATATATATGTGTGTGTGTGTGTGTGTGTGTGTGTGTGTGTGTGTGTGTGTGTGTGTGTGTGTGTGTGTGTGTGTGTGTGTGTGTGTGTGTGTGTGTGTGTGTGTGTATACTCCCCATTGTGACATCGTCACACACCGCCGTCGTTCCGCCGCCGCCGCTGGCCGTCAGCGGCATCGCCCGCTGGGCTTCGCCCTCATGGCGGTACGCGCTCTGATTGGCCCGCCGGCGGTGGTCGGCAGGTGTGTGATTGGCCGGAGCAGGCGGGCTGCCGTCCGGGCGCGCCCACCGACCCGCCCACGCCCGACGTGTCGCCTGAGCCCGGCATGGAGTGCGACTGCGAGTGCTGCCTGAAGCCCAACGGCGACGACTGCACCACCTTCTACCTGTGCAAGGTGGGTGTACAGGCCTGACCGATCGCTGAGCGTGGCCGCGACGTCGGCATGGCCTGAGTGAAGCGTGGTGATGGCGGGCCATATTTGGAATGGGGCAGGGATAGATGTCTTTCTGTCAGGGGCTCGTGAACGGCGGACGTCCTTTCTGGTGGTCGACAATTCCTAGACCCAAACTACCTCGACCTCAAACTAAAAATGGTAATTCTATACCAATGTCCTGCCTTGAAGGACCGCCTTCGCTGGGTAAACAGTTCGCTGTTGGCTAGAGGTGCCGATTGGTTTCCGAGCTTTTGGAATTCCAAACAGTTCCAATATTCAATTTGAAGATTGAAAATTTGACGGACAGGGGCAAAAATTTCTGGGATTTTTTGGTAGCTCATATAATTTTGTCGTGTTGCAAGTTGGCATGCATCTCTTTGATAGAGCACACTAAAAATATACCTCTTTTTTAAACGTGAGCAAGAACGGCTAAGTATATCCGTACTCGAGCTTAGTGACAGTGACACTTAGCGAACATCGATGTGAGTTGTAACTTGTGGATGCTTTCACGAAAGCTTGTGATGCACATCACTTAACTATCATAATTTTCTTTCGTTTCGTTTTGATTCGAGTGAGGCCATGCTGTGACGCGAGTAGCGACTGGTTGTAGTTGGAATTAACTTGATATCGAAACAAACCCTGGAACCTCTCGGTCACCATGATCTTTTGGACACTTTTTTGAGGGAGAGCTGGTCGATACTGGACTTACAATTGGACCTTGCGCAAAAGCTTCCAGAAAACGACATCCCTGATCCAGTATATCCGACTGGGTGCACCAGAGATACCCGGCCCTCCCTAGAACACGCTACAGGAGTTTTTAAGGGCCTTTGTACTTGAACAGGAGTTTTGATCAGTGACGCTGGGCGGAACGCTGACCAGCTCAGGCCCATTGGCCCTGGTCAGTGGTCGGAGTCACACAAGGGGAGTACCACTCCCCGACGCCGACCTTGTGTCTTCCGTTGGATGAGATGTGATTAGCGAGGCCGTCAGCTGTGCACAGGTGGACAGATCTCTTGGTGGACCACTGAAGGAGTGTGATCTGAATCGCGTGAACGTTCGCCGCTGTTGCAGGATGGCAAGGCCTACCTGGAGACTTGCGCCACCGGCCTGGTGTTCAACCCCAACACCCAGAACTGTGATCTGCCCAGCAACTACGACTGTGGTAAGAGAGCCGTCAAAGTTCGAGCTGGGAGCTGGGGGGTCAGGTGGGTCAGGCCGGTGGGCGGCCGATGGGCCAGTGACCCGGGCGTGGTGGGCACTCACTGCGGCTGACCTTCTGTTCCAGGTGGTCCCGAGCCGACGCCCAGTCCGTTTGATTGTCCCACCGACGGACTGTTCCCCAATCCGGCCGACTGCCACACCTTCTTCCACTGCTCCAATGGAATCTCGTACAAGAAGAACTGTCCCGCTAACCTCGACTTTGACGCGCGGACAAAGCGGTGCGAGTGGCCAAACCAGGCCGGCTGCCGGTACCCAGCCTCGACCACTAAGAAGCCTCCCGAACCCACTACGCGCTCCACCACTACAACCAAACGGCCGGACTTCGACTGTCCCACCGGAAACGGGCTCTTCCCCAATCCGGAGGACTGTCATACGTTCTTCCATTGTTCCAATGGAATCCCGTACAAGAAGGACTGTCCAGCTAACCTCGACTTCGACGCCAAGACGAAACGGTGCGAGTGGCCAGACCAGGCCGGCTGCCGGTACCCAGCCTCGACCACTAAGAAGCCGCCCGAACCCACCACGCGCTCCACCACTACAACCAAACGGCCGGACTTCGACTGCCCCACCGCAGACGGGCTGTTCCCCAACCCGAAGGACTGCCATACGTTCTTCCAGTGTTCGAACGGAATTCCCTACCTAATGGACTGTCCGGCCAACCTCGAATTCAACCCGGTCCTCCTCGTCTGCGATTGGCCAGAGCATGCCGGCTGCTCGAATAAGACCACACCCACTACGCCCGCAGTGTCCCCCACCACACCCCGCACGCCCGCTACCACTCCCAAACATCCAGGCTTCGACTGCCCCACCAGCAATGGGCTGTTCCCCAACCCGAAGGACTGTCACTCGTTCTACCACTGCTCGAACGGGCACCCTTACCTGAAGTACTGTCCCGCTAACCTTGAGTTCAACCCGGTGCTCCTGGTGTGCGACTGGCCCGATCACGCTGGTTGCGGCGACCACCCGCAGCCCACGCCCGACTACCCGGTCACCACGCCGGTGCCCGACGACGACATCGTCTGCCCGAACAAGAGCTGCGTGTGCAGGTGAGAGAGCGCGGGCCGCTCGGCCTCGACCGCGGGTTTGGGGCGCCTCTCAGGGAGCTTCGGCTGTTCCGTCTGACAGGCGCCGAGCAGGTCTCAGGTCAGGTCAGGTCGGATCAGGGCCCCGGTCCCGGCACACGATGCTCTTTAAGTGTCGAAGGGGGTCGACGGTTAGCGCCTGCTCCTGTGCTGCAGCCCTACACCTGGGAGACTAGCAGGAAAAAATGGCCCGTTTCTCCTGTGTTGTGAGTTTTATGTTGTAAATAGCCGACGTTCATCATATTAAGACTTACGTGCTAGACTGCGTTTCCGAGCCATCATTGCAGGATATGAACACACGCTCGAGGAGGCTAATTCGACCCCCAAAAGGTATTTTTCAGAATAACTTCCGGATGGTCAAGCTTTGTATAGCTATAGGCAATTGAATAGCAGATCGCAAGGCATTAAGCTTCAGGTGTACCTTGCAACATCGCCAACATATGGCAGGCTAAATCCAAGCCGTGTTTGTCGGCGAGGGCAATCGTAGAGGGAGTGTTACTCTAATTTGACTACGATAAGTTAGAGGAAATCATGCATCTTTGAGATAAGTTGTTGGGCAATTAGAAAACTAAATCTAATGTTTTTTTTAAGTTCATTGACTTTGGGCCAGGTATAAAGGTCAGACTGATATAAAACCAAGCTATCCATGTTCCAACCTATTGTTATTGCTGGAGAACTTGATTTATGTCACAGTTTTGACGCTCATTTAGAACTTACTGATCATAGGCATATTAACAGCGATCTCATTTTTAACTGCGTGGAGGTCAACTGATATCACTGACATAAAATGTCCCTGATCAATCTTTAGGTTGTGGGAACATTCCCTATCGTGACTATTGACGTTAATAAAAATGTATGGGGTCTTTATCACTTTTACCTCATGAAGGTCAAACAAGGTCACTGGGCTGAAATGAGCACGAGTGAACTTTAGGCGAAAGGTGTTTACTTGAGGCATCAGGACACGTCAAACAGCAATGTCAAGTTTGCTTTTGTCTTAAGAGCATGCCAACTTTTTGTTCATTTCGCTTATCGTTGAATTATACTCTTACGATTTGATCAATCATACCAGTTTTGTCGAAGTCCCTCTGAACAGCTCATAATTTCTATTGCAAATAGTCATTTCAGGAAAGTGATAATTTCCATTTGTTTTTCTTTTTCCAAGGTGTTCGCTCTAATGTTTGCAAGACACAAATTTGTCAAAATGTTTGGGTAACAAATGCTACGAAAGCTCAAAACACTCAGTTTAGACCAAAAGATATGCGAGCATGAAGCCATTGTCCCGCGAATTCACCGAAACGTTATACTGTGGCTTTGATCTCTCCCCTGTGGCGTTTACCACAGTGGATCTTTCGAGGCGCACTTTGGCTTCGGGAAAAGGAACATCACATGGTCCATGATGACGCACTGGTTCAAACTTCAACTAATGCGCTTCTTGGTAACAAGCCCTTGTCACCCGCTGTGCCAATCACAGACGTTCTTTTATTTGCATCAACGGGGTGTCACGGCGGTTGTCATGACTACGGTGGTCGCGATCACCGTGAAAAAGCGTTGTGCAGTTTCAGAGTGTTGACAGCGCAATTTGGACTTGAAAATAATCAAATCTGATATCCTTATTATGTCTTTACGGTGCTGCAGTCACATTACTCAGTGTTACTGTTAGACGCAGCGGGTCCTGGGGTTTCACTAACGGGTGTTTGTCAAGGACACTCACTTTCAGAAGGGTGTTACCCGCTTTAAATCTTCGAACCGAGATTACCTTAAGTAGATGCTCATACCGCGCCCATTTTCACAATTAACTATTTAAGACGGGTTTTCCCACTTTCAAACTTTGAACCAAGATTGCCTTTCGAATTTCGCATTTTCTGCAACGCCGTTGAGGCGAGGATACTCCCTCGGTGCGCACCCGGCATCTTGCCATCAGGCGGCCTATACCTAAAGCGGACCGTGCTTATCAGCTGGGACAGCCGACTAGCTCAGGCATACCCTCCTATGACCTGTTTGCTCGGCGCAGCAGCAAGAGGCATCGCGATGTCCGTGTGTTAGTGTACGTATTTGTGAGTGTGTTTATAGTTGGGATGTATACCTCGCGGCTGGCAGCGATCTTCGCGACTCTGTCCCCGCACGTAGGGACAGGGACCCCGTCCTGTCTCATCCTGTCCTTCACACTGCCTTGGTACCAACAGTGACAGGAGGATTGCAACTCTAGTGTGTGTTCGTGCTTTGCCAAAAGCAGGTATAAGGCACACCTACATCTAATGTGTTTGTAACTCTGCCTATACCCAAGATGCTCCGCCGGCTGGGATGTGTATGTGCCAGGCGGCGTATCCATGCATGTGCATACGCTGTTTAAATCCTGGATCCGTGGCATATCCAGGCACCTGCCGCAGTTTTGTTCTGCCGTCAAGTCGTTCCAAAAACGACTGTAAGTTTAGAGATGAGAAGCCTTCCATAGCCATAATTGCCTTTTCCTAGATTGAAGTTTGGTGAATTGCCTTGGATGGAAAAGTATCTTAAAGCTGGAATGGGTCGAACGATGAAATGCATCTTCAGAACTTATGAGCTGTAACGTCCCAGAAAATGGTTGCATGATGTGCAGCTACTATTTGAGACAGTCTTGCGGTTTACAGCTGGAGTTCATTTCATGGTCACAGTCGCTGTATGTTGGACGGGTATTAGTGTAGACCACAGTCTATGTAATGACACGATGAAATTCAATAAGCGTCTATGACATGCAGCCGCATGAAAAGTAAAGTACACATGTATATATATATATATATATATATATATATATATATATATATATATATATATATATATATATATATATATATACAGTCTTCCTGTGTCTACGCCGTTTCTTTCCTGCGGTGACAGCTACGTTTTAAGGCGCTCCAGAGGTCAGCTTCTTTAGCCTAACTTCGCGCCTTTGTGCGTGTGTGTGCATTCGAAGGCTTCCGGATAAGAAGGACTGCAGCGGCTTCTACCAGTGTCGGGACGGCAAGGCGTACCACAAAAGCTGTCCGACCGGCCTAGTCTTCAACCCCGACACGGAAGTGTGCGATCTGCCCGCCAATGTGGACTGCGGCGCCCCCACTACTGCCAAACCGCCGCCACCTACCACCACCCGCACACCTGCCACCACTCCCAAACATCCAGGCTTCGACTGCCCCACCAGCAACGGGCTGTTCCCCAACCCGGAGGACTGTCACTCGTTCTACCACTGCTCGAACGGGCACCCTTACCTGAAGTACTGTCCCGCTAACCTTGAGTTCAACCCAGTGCTCCTGGTGTGCGACTGGCCCGATCACGCTGGTTGCGGCGACCACCCGCAGCCCACGCCCGATTACCCGGTCACCACGCCGGTGCCCGACGACGACATCGTCTGCCCGAACAAGAGCTGCGTGTGCAGGTGAGAGAGCGCGGGCCGCTCGGCCTCGACCGCTTCTTAGGAGTGGTATTTAGTAAGTGAACCTCCCCCCCCCCCTTTTTTAACGCGGTCTGCAGCTCCGCACGAACTGCGAGAAAAAAGGGCGTGAAAACCTGGGAAGAAGCCCGTTTGCTACCGACTTAAGGAGGAAGTTTCGTTAGTGTTCTTTGCTCAGGCTCCACACCTTATTTTATGAAAACACATGCTTGGGGAACCAGGTTCGTAGCACACGACCGGATGAGGGTCCGTTTGCGGCTTACGTTTTTATAATGCCTTTTCAATAATGCAGTATAGCGGGACAAGATTTCGCTTATCTGCCAGATTGCTGTATAGCCGAGCTTGTGATCAAAATCACAATAAGTTTTTTTGCAACGTAAGTGACATGTAGCGGGTCAAAGTCAAGCCACGGTTGCCGGCAAAGGCACTCCTAAGGCCAGCTTTCAAGTTAATGCGACAGGAGGTTACACTCAATCGTACAATTTTGAGATGTTTTTAAGGCGATAATTCGGTTCAAAATTGCAGGACTGCTTCGTCTATCCGCTTTGATTCAATCATGAGGCTCAGATCAAGCAAAACAGAGGTATTTTGACTGGAAAACTCCCTCTGCCGGGTAATTTTTTACACTCCTTTCACATTTTATGATAGAAAGACGAACAACTTCCCAACGTTGGCTTTATGACGATCAGAGGATGCCATGGAACAGAAATCACCGTGATAACCCTTTAAGTATAAAGAACTTGTCTGAGTCAGTACTTGGCGCTTATTTTAGCTGCAAATATGAAAATGATTATTCAGCTATGTTAATGTATTAGTCATTTTCATTTTATAAAGGTCAGAAGAGCTCCCTGACTGAAAAGTTCCAAGCGTGGTATCGTTTGGAGACGGTACGAAGGTTGTAGCTTGTTGCATGAGGAGGTCTGAGGCACTTCTGACACTGATTTGTACCTCGATTTTGTTTGGCCTTAGTTGACCCGAAGGTCGCAATCCAAAACCTCAAATACTTGTGTGAATGAACCTACATAAAATCCTACCGACCTTGTAAGCATGTCTGTAGCTTTCTTACTTTAAGCATTCAGGAGGCAAAATGATTCCACCAAACGAGCTCGTCATATGACATCAGGAGGCAGCCACGGTGGTTATTAAATGGTTCATGTCCTGTTGACCTTGGCTGCCCAGTTCAGCAAGGCAGTCGGCGACAGAGTCTGCTTACAACTGTATATTCATGCTGTTCCACCCTACTGGGGAAATGCGAGAGGTTTTACAATGAATTGTCTGACCATTGTGAATTGCCGTTTATTATCAGTTTACTGTGGTGTGTTAAGACTGCGCTAGCAAGCAGAAAATCCTTCTTAGTCCCGTAAATTTTGATAAAGTAGATTGATAAAGGATAAAAGGATATAAGTATAAACGCATACAGATATGCATATGTGCATGCATGTATATATGTTAATATATACATATGTATACATGTGGTTATATACATGTACATTATATATATATATACACACACACACACACATATATATATATATATATATATATATATATACATGTATATAAACTACTATCGAGTGAAACGCTATGGTTTTGGATAGCTTTCAGCGATTGTTTTCTCTCGCGCGTTACTTTTGACGTCACCTAATAGAAAGAAGGAAAAGTAGTTTACCAAGAGAGATGTGGCGTATTCATAAACCTCATGTATCAAATGAAAGTTATAGCATGACACGTAACGTTGTATTGCATATTGAATCAACATTTTTACATAGTTGAAGCGAGAAGTGGTAAGTACTTTCCAATCCTCCCAGCGCGGGCCGTGATAATGGAGGACTTTACCTTGGGTGTGTTGTCATCGCTTGCATTTTTACCATCGATGAATGCCAACAACGTTCCGAAATTGTGTCTGGCACAAATATCCTAACGGGGAAAGTCCCGATAGCCACCGTGTGCAGCGTCATCCTCCACGTTTTCGGGCGCTCCGAAGGTCGGCTCATCTAGCCTAACTTCGCGCCTTTGTGCGTGTCTCTGTGCATTCGTAGGCTGCCGGACAAGGACGACTGCAGCGGCTTCTATCAGTGTCGTGACGGCAAGGCCTACCACAAAAGCTGTCCGACCGGCCTGGTCTTTAACCCCGACACGGAAGTGTGCGATCTGCCCGCCAATGTGGACTGCGGCGCCCACACTACTGCCAAACCGCCACCACCTACCACCACCGCCCGAGTCACCACTCCCACCCCGAAAACGACCACCACCCCTGCCACTACCACGCAAAAAACGACCACAGCCTCTACCACCACTACCCAGAAAACGACCACCACCCCTGCAATTACTACACCTGCTACTACTACCAAGCAAACGACAACCGCCCCCACCACCACCACCACCACGGCAGCGCCCACTTCCCCGCCGCCACCGTCTCCGTGTACGTTCCCCTGCTCCAAGAGCGACGGTACCTACGCCAATCCGCTGAACTGCGGCACCTACTTCCACTGCTCGGACGGCGAGGCCAGCATCGAGTACTGTCCGGCCGGCACGCACTTCAACACGGGCACGAACGCGTGCGACGCGCCCGAGACCGCCGGCTGTTGCGACCTGTAACCCCCCTCCCCATCCCGCCCCTCACCCGTCCCACGCCTCCCCGACGCACCGCACCGGACCACGACCACTCATGGCTGCCGCGCTCAGCTCGGTAGCTTGTTTTTCCCCCACGGCAGACACCAATCGTCACGTGTCGCCGCTGTCACTGCACACATTGTATAGTCACCTTCCTTGTAGTGTAATCCGCACACAGCACCGCACATACCTTTCACGCATCCGCCGCCCGATCAGCACCCGCCTCTCCCGCTCGAGACATGCTGCATGCTGACAATGGCCGATCGAAGTAGGTTAGTGACTGAATCTTTTGGTGACGTCTGGCTTGTGCAGTTGGCTTTCCGGGTCTGTCTGCGGGGCTCCACTGTGGTGTGAGGTGGAGGACACTACGCCGTCTCTCGCAGCAGCTATGGCAGAGTACGCACTCCTCTGTCGCCGCGGCTCCTCTCCACAGCCCCGGGCGTATCAGCAGTACCTGTTTGCAGATCTGAAGGTTTTTAGACGCTTGACGAGCATGGACTATTGTTTGCGAGTCAACCATGACTACGTGCAGCAGTTTTTAGCTCCGAAATGTTGCTCGAGTTACAAGCATCGTCGCCGTAGCTGCAGCCTGCGATGAATATCTTCCGATGAGTGATAGCTTCTATCGACATCATACATTGCCGACTGCGAACAATTTGTATGTAGTGCAACAAGTATGGTGAGCACGGAACACATGACGTGTTTGTGAACGGTGACAAGAGCGCGCACTTGTGGTGTGAGGTGGAGGTCTCTAAGATGGCTTCGCGCAGCACCTGCTCCATTTGTACATATTCTTCTGCTATCGCCGCTGCTGTCCACCATCGTTTGCACGTAACAATACCTGTTCACAATGCAGAAGCTTTGTTAATATTGCGCCTTTCCGAATCACTGCATTGTGGGCTAACCGCATCCATAGGCTGTAGTTTTTGCCTCGGACTGTTGTACCGCCATAGATATCATTCTTGTTGCTCATTAGTTGTGCTTTGATGAGTCTTATGACTGCAGCCTGAATTGCGCATATCCTAATATGCAATTACTATTGATATCATCGTTTATCCACTAAGAACGAGCGAACGAGTACGAAACAAACAATGGACGAAAGTGTGTCAACAACAACAAAAGTGGTATGTGTCAGCGATGTCAAAGATCTGTCCCGCTCAACACCTCGAAAGGCAAGCATGCGTTTCTTTTGCCGCAGAGTACCTGATCCCAAAGACTGCCACAAATTCTACCAATGCAAGAACGGCAAGGCCTACCCGGTGAGCTGTCCCACAGGCCTCGTCTTCAACCCGGCTCTGGAGGTCTGCGACTACCCTGGTAATGTCCCAGGCTGCGCACCAACGAAACCGACCAAGCCGACCAAGCCGACCCGTCCGACCCGGCCGACCCGGCCTACCAGGCCGACACACAAGCCCACGCCAGATTCATCCAGCTCTAGCTCGGAGTCGGGAAGCGGATCTCACCACCACCACAGCAGCGACTCTGATTCCGGCTCCTGCTCCAAGCACCACCACGGCAGCGACTCGAAGCACCACCATGGCAGCGGCTCTCATTCGAAGCATCATGGCAGCGACTCGAAGCACCACGGTAGTGGCTCGAAGCACCACCATGGCAGTGGCTCGAAGCACCACCACGGTAGCGGCTCGAAGCACCACGGCAGGGAGTCGGCGGAGCGCGTGAAGTCGTCTGCACCTGCTCTGAAGAGCTCGCCTCTGTACAGGAACCCGGACCACGGCACTGTCGAGGACGATGATGGCTTCTTGGGTACGTTGTGATCGCGGTGCTTTGCTATGTTTCCATTGCAAACCAGTCCATGAATGAAGCATAAGGATTCATAACTTGGTGTCAAACCCTAGAAGCTTGATGTGCTTGCTTATATGCCCCGTCTTTTGACGTCATCAGTTAGTCCATGCATGTGTGACGGTTATCCTAATTCAGGGTTATGGCGTGGGCAACCTTTGCTCATGCAATATCTATGAACTGAAGTCCCCACGTACACGTTTTCTGCGTGACCATCGCACTCACAGCGAACCTGTCGCGTTCGCAGAGGCCCAGTTCTGCCCGAAGCCGAACGGCAAGTTTGCGTCCTCCAAGTGCCACTACTACTACCACTGCGTGGACGGCGTGCCAACCATGAAGCGCTGCCTGCACGGCACGCGCTTCTACGCCAAGGGGTCTCGCTGCATTCCGGGCAGCTGCTGAGCGGCCGCTGGGCAGCTACTGGGCGGCCGCTGGGCGCCTGCTGGGCGGCCGCTAGGCGCCTGCTGGGCGGCTGCTGAGCGCCTGGTCAGCGCGTAGTGGGGGATGGTGCTGCAGAGGCTGCTGACCGTCGCGGTCCAGAGTGAAGGCTAGTCCGGTCGAGAACGTGAGGACGCTCGCGCCGGCGGACAGCTCACTGTCCACTCAGCTGCAGCTCTGTGCGAAAGGCTCTTCCGGATCGTGTGCTTCTAGCTTATGTAGAACTGGCTTGTGTGCACTTGGGAGAAGGTGGTACGCGCTCTACGAACGGATGCCTCTTGCTGCTTACGCTTGGACGATGATGGACTCTTGCTAGTGCATCTCCTCTACTGCACCGCGTGCTGTTGCTAATGCACCTCCTAACCGCACCCCGTCGCCACGTATCAGGCACATATTAGGCAATAAATTTGCACGTCATGACTTTTGTTTTCAGATAATCCCTAGGGGGATGCTTGCACAGCTGGTAACATGATGCTGGCATATCCCAGACTACATGCAGTAATCGACATCGGGATATCTCTGAGATTCCGCATCTTAAAATATGCACATTCTAGGATCAACGTGACAGCTACATAACGTGAGCGCAGTGGCGATCCCTGGTCACGTGCTCCAAAGGCGCCCATTGCCAGCCGAACAGATGCAGCTTTTCAACACGAAACGCAACAAAATTGGACATCTTTGGGCCTCCAGGCGAGCGAGAACAGTCGCGAGCGAAGGAAAAAGGACCATGAGCAGATAAAGATAGTTTTGCGATGGTTCTGAGGGTGGCGATTGAGAAAATATAACGCCCATGGCGCTGTTCAAAAGCCCTAAGCTCCTGATAGGGCCATACATGTCCACTTAGTGGGCTGATTGACCAGTCAGGAGCCTTCCGCGTTGCCCTTCATTTCCTTGCATTTGCTCAGAGACATATACGCCGCTGGCAGGGCAGTGGCACGGGTAGAGGAGGGGGGGGGGGGGGGGGCACAGGGGGAACAAACTCCTCCCTTCAGCCCCCAGGGTGCGAAGGGCCCCTAGGGACGAGCAATGAAGGCCGATTCGATGCCCCGAAGGACTGGCCGGACATCGCATTAAAGGGTGTGGCTGGCAGTGCCGGACCCTTCAATGTCAATCAGTGGGCCCTTTACACCTTTTTTGGGGACCCCTGAGCCGGATAGAGTTGGTACTGAATAGTCGGCTCCGTGTCAATGTGGACCTGGGGACCTATTTACAAAACAAAAAGAAGACTGGGGCCAGCAATTCAAATTGGATAGGGCCCCTGAGTCAGCAGGGCCCGGGTTGGCCAGGGCCCACAGTGCCTCAACTGGGTCCTGTGTTGGCAAGGGATAATGTGGACTCCTGGGACAATACGGGCCCCATTACGGCCGGAGACCAACACCAAACGGTCGACTCCGCGTCGATCTGGGCCCTGGGGCCCGTTATTCACGCAGGGACGAGGCTGGGACCCGTGATTTGCATTGGCCGGGGCCTCTGAAAGGATGAGAAGTTCTGTGTCGATCAAGGGCCCGCAATATAACACAGGATTGTATGCTGGCAAGGGGCCCCAATTTGGCCAGGGAAATATTTGCTGAACAGGGACAGTGACGAAACCCCGAATGCCAGAGGGCCTCTTGCGTTGGTCGGGGGCCTCTGAGAATAATTGGAGATATGAAAACTTGGTGAGAGTTCACAATGAGGCAATGGAAAATGAGGCTTGTGGCAGACAGGGTGAACTTGGTGAGAGCTCAAGAGAGTTTGAGGAACAGCACAAACTTGGTGAGAGCTCACAGTGAGGCTTGTGGCAGACAGGGCCCTCAGCCCGTTGGCTGTTACCTGACGTAAGCCACGTGGCCAACGCCGCGCGGCCTACGAACAGTGCAACGCTGGACGTTAGGGTTTAGTTTCGAGGACTTCACTACCAGTTTTCTCGTAGAAAACTGGTATTATCAATTAAATCGGACGCGTCTGATCCAGCCACAAATGAAAATTGCAAAAAGTGTCATTATTCCTTAAATGCCGCCGTCGCTGCTCTGCAACGCCGTCACAAGCGGTTGTAGGGGCCGGAGATACCGGCGGCGGCCCCAGTACATACGAGGCAGGCGTAGCAGGCAGTCTCACCGCTTGCCGTCGTCCGCGACACCTCCCCCCCCCCCCCCTTCCCCCCGACCCGTCCGACAAACCTGTCTTGGGGTCCTGCGCTAGCGCGTGCTATCCGGTGCCCGGCGCTTGCGTAACCGTCGACTGCGACCGCACCCTGACTCTGGTGCCGTCTGGTCGCATGCATCCACCGCCCGCTGTCACACCTCACCGGACACACGGTGCTGAGCCTGCACCAGGTGGTGCGTCACCCAGCGTCCCCAGGTGGTGTGCACGGCTGATCGTAGCCAGCGTCCGCACATTTGAGCTTGCGAACGACCGCACACACGTGAAGCGTTGCGCAGTTCCAGGACATCGCGCGCACAGTTCAATCGGGTTGGTCCAACCGTCGCCCGAAAGGTCAGATACGGCCGCCCGGTCTGCCGCGCAGGCCGCCGACCGTCGCCGACCGTGGACACAGCGCGGTCATGGCCACACAACAGGCTTTCTTTCAGCAGCACGTCGAGTATGGGCCTCTGTGAGCGATGTGGCAGGTTCGGCGACCCATGTAGTGGGGACTTACGCTCTTTAGGGGACTAAGTTGTCGAGTTCTTCTTCCCCAGCAGCGGCAGCCCCGGACGCCACATCTCCGATGGGAGCATACCCAAGCTCCACACTCACTGGCGACAATGACTTCAGAATCTGTGGGTAAATAGCATTTCTGGGTATGCTCATCGCGACGCACCCTGCCCCTGGTCCCTCCACTTGACACTGGTTTGAAATCAACATAGCTGCTTGGTTGCTGATATTATGTGACTGTCAGCGACAGACCCCCAGTGACGTCACTGTGGGGTCGTTGCCAGCAAAAGAGACCTCCACATAGTCCACAACACTGGTGACGGCCCCTGTGATACATCGCGGATATTGATAACCTGCCCAGGCACACGCGATCGTTTCACGTCCCTCTACATTGGGTCTTGGATGCTTCCTATTTGAATGGATACCTGCTCGGGCACACTCGGTCGTTCGGGGGCCCTCCACATCGGGTCTTTGATACTTTTAATTTGCTTGGAGGCCGCTTCGCTCTTGTCGGGGGCCCCATCTGTTAAGCTGCACGAACCAGTGGCTGATCCAGAGAAGAAACTGCGTGGCCATGCCCCCCACCCCCCTCTGCTCCGAAACGACCATAACCAGCCGAACGAACGCATATTTCTAACACACACAAAGCAGCCAAATTGAACGTCTTTGGTCGTCCAGGCGACCAAGGACAGTCGCAACCGAAAATGAAGAGCCCGTAAGCAAATGAAAATAATTCTTCGCTGACCGACAGGATGGTGAGTTTGGGAGATTTTGAGACTCTTTACACTGTCCAGAGATCCTCCGCTGTTGCCAGTGGCCCTATATGCTCACTTGCGGGATCAATTCGATCGCTAAGGAGTAAGATGCCTTCCACGGTGCCCCTGATTTCTTTGCCTTTTTCGGAGGATCTTACGGTGTTGTTGAGACATTGTCTGCCATAATACCGGAGCACTCTTGATTGATCAGCCCCCCCCCCCCCACAGATTCTTCCCAGTCGCCTGAAAGGCTCTTTATGCTATTACCGGGATCACATATGTGGAAGGGAATGTTCAACCTTTGTGGCATGTCTCAAAAACTTCTTTAGTGAAACCTCAGGACTAGTTACGTCTAATGATAGCACCGGGTAGTGCCACTGTAGTGCCGTTAGGACAAGATAAGGATATCAATCTTTATAATTTTCTAGTCCAAACTACGCTGCCAACGCTTTGTAACGGCACTGCACTCCTTCCCTGCAGTCACGCCACCGTCGTCATGACACGATGGTGCGCATCACTCCTGGGGCGAATGAAAAAAAGCAATTGGGCCAGCGGGCAAGAGCCTGTTACCGAGAAGTTAGTAAACTGAAGTTTGAGCCAGTGCATCACATGGATCATGTGATACTACCAATGCCAAAGCCAAAGCGCACCTCGAAAAGAGCCACTGTGGTAGACGGCACAGAGGAGAAATGAACCATGGAATAACGTTCCGGTGAATTTGCAGGCTAATGGCCTGATGTTTGCATATTTTTTGGTCTATACAGGGTGCTTCAAGCTTTCGTAGCGTTAATTACGCGACATTTTGAGACTAGTGTTTTGCAAACATTACGGAACACACACATTGTACAAAGAAAAGCATATTAAATATAATACTTTCATGGTGGTGAGCAGGTAGCCAAATCAGATTCCTTTCGCAGGGCCCGCTACTTCAAACCAAAATTCTGGGCTATTCAGAGGGATTTTGAGAGAACTGGCATTGCTGCTGATCAAATGGTGCTTGTCTCATTTAACAATGAGTGGAAAGTTAAAAAGGGGTGGGATAATCCCTTCAACTTGCCAGGGGAACTCCCGGCTTCTCAGAGGTCCGTCGCATTGGTCTCGGCTTCTTTCCACTTGCTCGGGAGGCTCCACACTGTTGCTGGGATCCATATAAGTTGACGCACTGAGACGCTCGATGCTCAGGGGCCCTCTCCATTGATCTAGGTGGTCTCTCCCTTTGATTTCATTCGTGAACGACACTTCACTCTTGTCGGGCCCCTTCCTGTTACCCTGCCCGCACAGTCTTGATCGCGCAGGAGCCCGTTACAACAGACATGCGCACTTCATATTTGCTCGGAGGTCCCTGAACTATTGTCCTTGAGCCCTAAACACTCATCTGGCAAGGCACTCTCGGTCGCTCAAGAGCATTCATTCATGCACACTGGCCTTGGACCGTTGGCGTTTACTCAGAGGACCCTGCGCACCTGCCGGGACGCTACATGTCAATAAGCCGGGAAACTCCCGCTTGTTCAGGACCTACCACGTTGGCTTTGGGTTCTTTTCTGAGGACCCTACGCTGTTGACGGGAACTGGCCTGCCGTGGCACCGTCGCTTAGGTTCCCCTCCTATTGGCCTTGAGGTTTTTCATGTTATCGGAGGCCTTGTGCCGTAAACGGGGACCCAAATCTTATCGGTTTGGACGCTCTTGGCCGTCGCGGGGCTCTTCACATAGGTCATGAGCTCTGCCGATGAAGCCAGAAGGACCTTGCGCTGTTGCCGAAAGCCCCACATGTGCTTGCGAACACCGGGGTGTGTCGCTCGCGCGTGTGTACGGGTCTGGGTAAATGACTTCGCGTACACAAACCCGATACCTACGCGATGGCGACTTCCTTTGGCGCCCTAGTCTCAGAGCAGCAGTCGGATATGCGCGGATGAATTTTTATACGCAAATGCTGAACATAATTTTATGCGCCACCGACTTCGCATACAGAAGCAAAAAAGCGTGCACTCGCACATGAGCTTGGGAGACTTATAACATTGTTCTCTTATTGT